GTTATGTGAAAACAGGAGAATAATTTGGTGATATATTCACAAAACCTCTGAATACAATACGGATTGAGTGTCTTTGAAACAAGTTGGACATGATTAACATTTATACCCCAACTTGAGGGAGAGTGTTAGAATATTATAGAATATTTTCTATATATAATAATATAATTATTTTTTGAAATATGTAAACGTAATTAGGAAGAAAATAGTTAGGATAATTTATGTTGGTTATCATATATGAATCCGTTTACATGTATATATATATCAACTTTTATTACAATAAAAATATAAGAATTATTCAATATTTTTTCTTTCTTAACCCTTTATATGAGGGAATCTTAGTTTTATGGATGAAGGGGTTTTTAAATGTGAGGAAGTTTTGGTGGGTGAATGCTCTATTTCTTGCTTGTTTGAAGTCTGTAGAACTTGGCGGAAATGAGTGTTCACTGCTGTCTACAACAGAGGCGAACTGACGGAAAGAGGATTGCTGTGGAAGAACTTGGAGGGCTGTAGACAAAAATGGGATTGCATGTGGGTGGTAGGAGGGGATTTAAATATGGTATTTTACAGACATGAGAGCTCCTGTGAGCGTTTCTCGTGGGTCTATATTAAAGAATTTAAGGAAACCATGGACAGACTTGATTTAATGAATTTACCTCTCATGGATTGTAAATAGACTTAGACCAATCAGAGACTCAACCCAGTGTGTGCTATAATTGATAAATTTTTTGTATCGGTTCCTTGTCAACTATGAACAATGGGTATAATGCCAAAAACTTCTTCAGCGGACCATCTCTGATCAATTCCCATTTTCCTTGTTTCTGTCAGAATCAAGTGGAATCTTTGTCTATTCTGATTTGAGGATAAATGGTTGAAAGGTAATGGTTTCTGCGATAAGGTTAATAATTGGTAGAGTGGGCAACAGTGGATGGTAAGACCAGGTTTGAAGTAACTAAAAAGATGAAGATAGTGAAAAGCAGAAATCAAAAAGTGGAGCAAGGAGGAGAGGAGTGAAGGTATGTATACCCAATCTCTGCTTCAAGAGATTGAGACAATTGATAAGAAAGAAGGTGAAGGTGATTTGTCTATGGAAGACTTGGCTTGCAAGGATTCTTTAAAAGTGAACTGGCAAACATATTATAAATGGAGGAGACGTCTTGGAGATAGAAATCAAGAGTTCGGTAGATAAAGGAGGGGAACAGGAACACAAAGTATGTCTATAGTATGGCAAATCATCATAAGTAAAATAATCATGTGGAAAAGATGAGGATTGACTATCAGGTAATGAACAGCTGAGGTAAGGGATTCAAGATTTCTTCTGCAGTCTATATCGTTAGGAATTTTGTTGGAGGCTCAAGTTGGATGGTATCAATTTTTGAGTCTTGGATGAGATTAACAAACTATCACCTGAAAGAGAAGATTTCAAGATGTCTGGTGATACTGATGAATTAATAAATTGTACCATACTTTTTATTTTTTTAAAAAAACCAAGATGAAGATTGGGGATTTCAGACTAATGAGAGCGAAGAGCGAGGATGTAAGTGTTGTGGAGGAGGAAAGGAAGTAAGGAAGGTGTGGAAGATAATGGCTCGATTTTGGTTGAGACATGGTGTGGTGACTGGATATGTTGTTGATTGGTTGCTGGACAATTGCATGATTAGGGTAGTTGATTTGGAGGTGTTGGCGAAGACAGTTGCCAGGGTCTCACCAGAGTTGGGTTGGAGAAGGGAAGTATATCCGATGGCTGTTTTGATAAGTTTAGTATTGACGGTGGCAAAAGATTTGATTCCTAATAGTGGGCCAGTGGTGGGTTCAAGGAGAGTTTGTGGAGGTGAGTCTGAATCAAGCAGAGTGAAAGACTATGTGATGGAGTGGATGGCAAATGAGATAAACGAACGGTTTGCATCTACTAGTTCTGCAGATAATGGGTGGCTGACCTCAAAGCTTCAACAGAAGGAAAAAATTAGAAAGAAAGATAAGAATAGGAAGCCAAGGGAATTGTGAAAGAAGAGTTGGCCGAAGAATTCACCAAGAGAAAGAAGAAAAGAATGCTGAAAAGGAACAAAGCTGCCGTTTGATCTGCAATTTGGGTTCAGTTTTTTAAACTCGGGAGGTTTAGGTTGAAAGAGGAATAGAGTGAGGATTTTACTTTTTAAGTGTTTTGAGAGAGAGAAAGAAATTAGATTTTTTTTTATTTTTCAATTATTTGCATATAATTTTATAAAAGAAAATATGTATATGTCAAATATAACATGTTACAAGGCATCCACGTGGTAGTCATGTGGGCATCGTCTAAGCAAAAAAATTGAGTTACGTGACCATGTTGCATTGATATAACCGGCAGTGACAGAGAGACCAATTTGAATAGTTCTTGAAAGTTCGAGATCTATTTGAGTAAAAAAAATTAGAGGGATTAATTTGAACAAAATAAAATAGTACATTGGTGAATTAGAAATTTTTGTCGATATGTAAAAGTTAGTTATAATTTATACATTTAGTGCATAATTGATTCAACATAATGCATTCTATATAATCATTATTTGTATTTTTACATGTTAATGAACAAATCACACCCAAGTTATAGTGGATGTGGAATTACAATGTTATTCTTATTTAAATTTCTGTTATACTTGAACTGCATTCTCATTAAATTTTCAGGGGAGCAGTCGAACAAGAGATAATCATGGGGAGCCCTTGGCAACATCATATCATTCAAAGTTTATGGGAACTGTTGATTATATCTGGTAATAACGAGAACAATTCAAAAACTATCGTCAAAATTATTTATTACTAATCTCATTCCTTGACACAGGCATACAGAAGATCTTGTTCCTGTTAGAGTTCTTGAAACCTTATCCATGGATGTTTTGAGAAAAAGCAGAGGCCTTCCTTGTGAGGTACCTTGTGTCTTATGAAAATTACCAAGCTTAATCCTACGCTTTATGAAATCTAATTTTTAGGAGTATCTTTGGAATGAATAATTTATTTTTGTAATGTTCATTTGGAAATTGATCAATTTAGATCTTTTTGTATCTTCCCATGTTTCTTGAAATCCATTGCTGCTTTTGTCCTTTGCAATATCTCAATTATCAGATAAACAGATGTCTTTTCTTTTTTTAATGTTCAATTTTCTTATATAATGCTTATTTTATTTTGTAGAAATGGGGTAGCGATCATCTTGCTCTTGTATGCGAACTGGCATTTGCAGATGATATCAGTAGTCAGACCTGAATGACCGGATAATTGACTTCGAGTTCAAATCTTTTAGCAAGGAGTAAACACTTTTTATGGCTGTCTCCTTGGGGTCAAAATGTTATGGCAAATTTTCTATTGCCATACATGTTGAGCACTATTTGTCAGGCAATGAAGTAATTATCCGATAACAAGTCTGCAATCAGACTCCTGCTCAGGAAAAGCTCGTCGTCTGTAAGAATCTAGCCAAGTTTTATGTTTAATTATAAAATGATTTCTTCTTTGGTCATAAGGAAACAAGATCAATTACCACCAGTTTCCCTATTAAGATGAAGCATTGTGAAGTAAGATTATAGTATATGGTAGCCGGAGTATATAGAATTACCAAGAATTTTAGTCTCGTTATCTCCATACCCGGATGTAGCCTGATAAAATTACCATACTAATCATCCATTTTCTGTCGTACAAATGATAATATCATGGAGTAGGGTAAGGGAGCTAGTCTTCTGGATTCCCATTATTAGAATGTTAACCGGATAGGTATTATTGTGGAAAATCTAGTAAAATTTCTTTGTTAATCAAACTATTTAGAAACAGTATGATATAAAGCCATTTGGGCAACACCAATGACCAAATCATCCAGCTTGCTAAAAAACATCATGATTAATGTTAATAGATGCATTCATGCAATTTCAGTGGCCTTCAAGTCATGATCATCACAATTGATTGATTAATTTCTTCAGCTACATGGTTCTGAAGACGAAGAGATACATGGTTATGGTTTAAGAAGTAAGTTTTTCGGGTTTTAGAGAAAGAGAGAAAAAGAGAGAGAAATAGAGGAGTTTGAGAGAGATAGAAAGAGAAACCAAGACGAAGAGATAGAGAATCAAAGAGAAAAACATAGAAAATTTGAGAGAGATTTTGAAAATATTTTTCAAATGATTCATTTATTGATTATTCAAGCTTGAAATGGAGAAGTTAAATATAAAAAAAAATTCATAAATATTTCATTCAAATCGCCAAATGTCATTATGGAATACTGGAAAAATCGTCGTTGAAAAGATATCCAGTTGGGATTGCTGCATGGAAAAGAAAAGATGAAGAGTCGACAATTTAGCGCTCAGGATCATTTTTTTTTTTACAACCCTACTTCCAATTTTATTATGACAAAAAAGCAAAACTACCCCTGGTTTGATATTGCATTTGCGACGGTATAAAATATTATTACAGTAGTGACAAAGTCTGTGTCAGCTGGGTAAGATGTATTCTCTTTCGGCGGTTAAAACCGTAGTTTATCTTTAGGAGCATCTATTTTTAGTTGTACAAGATTTCGCTTTTGTCTGTTAATTTGAAGAGTCCAAGACCCAAGAAGCTTAACATTTTAGGATGTACATACATATTTATAGGATCCTGTACTGCATCCTTATCATTGATTAAGTCAAAGCTAAAAGACAGACGATTCTTGAGGAGGATTTTGAGACATGAAAACGACCAGTGCTATTTACTTTTTCTCCCCTCACCAAAAGAAAAGTTCATTTGTGAAACGAGTGTTATCATTTTCTCCTGTTCTACCTCTTTCTCATCTTCTAAAAATTATGTTGTTCAATAAATTGATAGAAATTTGAGCAGATTACTATAAATCAAATTTAAAATTTTATTGAGTGATTAGCAGAGATGCAAAACGAGTTAGAAGAAGATAATATCTCTGATAAATTAGTTCATTGAATAAATTTCTTGCTGAAGAAATTTTTAATTTTAAGAGAAAATTTCTCTTATCTCCTTCTCTTCTCTATTCTCTGCCAGCAAAAAATTTGGTTCTAAAAATTAAAAAATAACAAAAATGCGAAAAGTAAAGAGAGTAGAGAACAAAATTTATAATTCTGAAAACTCTTTCAGGTTATAAATAGAGGATAAAAAGATTACAACCCATCTGATCAACAAAAGTCTAAGGTATGAAGTTTCCTAAACATTAGTCACATATGGCTATGGAAGATTAAAGAGAGTTTAGAAATATTGGACAGCTACACAAATGGGGAAAATAGACAGGAAAGCCAAAGAACTCTCTATAAACAAAGGACATACTCAAATTCTTTAATGAATCTGTTATTTACCACATATATATGTTGTATAAATATAACTGAGCTAACATTCTTGCTAAGTTGATTTTTCTATCTGCAAAACTCACATATCTGTGAAGTTCAATGCTGCGTCGACCCATTCACTTGTCTCCTCGTTGATCTCTTCTTCTTCTGTCTCCATCAGGTTAGTGGTCGACTCCCTGTGTGGAGGCATATCCACTGTTGTAGTAAATTATCGGAGTCATAATTAGCGCAGCGAGCAAGGAATTCCTCATCAATTGGAAGAGGCACCATTGGTTCTTCCCAAAGATCCAAAATGGATGTTGACATTCTTGGCTCTCCAAATACACTATTTAGAATCTCACTGTTCATTGCATTAGTTTCTTCCACCATGCCTAGCTCTCCAAATACAATATTTAGAATCTCATTGTCTATTGCATTAGTTTCTTCGATCATTCTTGGCTCTCCCAATACATTATTTAGAATCTCATTGTTCATTGCAGTAGTTTCTTCCATCATCCTTGGCTCTCCAAATGCATTGTTTTGAATCTCATTGTTCACTGCGGTAGTTTTTTCCACCATTCTTTGCTCTCCAAATACATTATTTAGAATCTCATTGTTCATTGCATTAGTTTCTTCCATCATCCTTGACTCTCCAAATACATTATTTAGAATCTCATTGTTCATTGCAGTAGTTTCTTCCATCATCCTTGGCTCTTCAAATACATTGTTTTGAATCTCATTGTTCATTGCAGTAGTTTCTTCCACCATTCTTGACTCTCCAAATACATTATTTTGAATCTCATTGTTCATTGCAGTAGTTTCTTCCATTATCCATGACTCTCCAAATACATTGTTTTGAATCTCATTGTTCATTGCATTAGTTTCTTCCATTATCCATGACTCTCCAAATACATTGTTTTGAATCTCATTTTTCATTGCAGTAGTTTCTTCCATCATCTTTGGCTCTCCAAATACATTGTTTTGAATCTCATTATTCATTGCAGTAGTTTCTTCCATCATCCTTGGCTCTCCAACTACATTAGTTTGAATCTCATTATTCATTGCATTAGTTTCTTCCATCATCATTGGCTCTCCAAATACATCGTTTTGAATCTCATTGTTCATTGCAGTAGTTTCTTCCACCGTTCTTGGCTCTCCAAATAAGTTGTTTTGAATCTTATTGTTCATTGCATTAGTTTCTTCAATCATCCTTGGCTCTCCAAATACATTAATTTGAATCTCATTGTTCATTGCATTAGTTTCTTCCATCATTCTTGGCTTTCCAAATACATTAGTTTGAATCTCATTGTTCGTTGCAGTAGTTTCTTCCACCATTCTTGGCTCTCCAAATATATTGTTTTGAATCTCAGTGTTCATTGCATTAGTTTCTTCCATCATTCTTTGCTCTCCAAATACATTAGTATGAATCTCAGTGTTCATTGCATTAGTTTCTTCCATCATTCTTTGCTCTCCAAATACATTAGTTTGAATCTCATTATTCATTGCATTAGTTTCTTCCATCATCCTTGGCTTTCCAAATACATTATTTTGAATCTCATTGTTCATTGCAGTAGTTTCTTCCACCATTCTTGGCTCTCCAAATACTTTGTTTTGAATCTCAGTATTCATTGCATTAGTTTCTTCCATCATTCTTGGCTCTCCAACTACATTAGTTTGAATCTCATTGTTCATTGCATTATTTTCTTCCATCATCCTTGGCTCTTCAAATACATTATTTTGAATCTCATTATTCATTGCAGTAGTTTCTTCCACTATTCTTGGCTCTCCAAATATATCATTTTGAATCTCATTGTTCATTGCAGTAGTTTTTTCCACCATTCTTGGTTCTCCAAATACATTATTTTGAATCTCATTATTCATTGCATTAGTTTCTCCCACAATTTCCTTCGCATTGTTTTCTGCCTCTGCATTGATTTCCATGTAAATGTTCTCAAA